CACTACATTTTTTGGAAGGTAATGGTACTTTTACTTGAGTATATTTTTTCAGTACTCTTTCCACCACTGCTTACCACATACACAGAGTAAGGAAAAATGTCCGATAGGACGATAGCGAATGATTTGCAGATCCTGAGCACCAATGACAAACATCTAATCTTGTCAAATGTGTGGTAAGTACTGCTGCTACATAGTATAGAGTCCTTGTGATCGCGAATCTCAAAAGTGAGAGTAAAATGAGAGCGCGCAATCGAAAGTGGTTTCAATAGCAGCTCCCTGATGCCCGCAATTTATATACAGTCGCCTATACTTACCCAACGATATAATTGCGAGAAAAAGTATAGAAATATATATTTTTTTTATCCTCCCATCTCGTAGGCTATTTATTCCCTTTAGGGTTTCCGTAGTACACTTCATTTCCTTTCCGAACACGGAACTGGGATGTGGCGGATTACGGGGGTGGGGGTGTTAGCTTAACATCGTAATGTCTGTCAGCCATCGGCGATCCCGCCAAGACCAAATACATTAACATTGTCATGTCCATACCATGCCAATCATTCCAAGAGTTGTCATGACAGAAATATATGTCATTATCATTATAAAAAATATATAAGAAATATATATCATTATTGTTAGCTTTCTTTGTGTGAATGGGTGTCATTTTTCCAATCATCATAAAAATACCAGAGTGTAATATATGTGTCTGTGTGTTTGCTTTACCTGTGCGCAAGTCCACATGCTGCAGTTCATTCCTCACAAGCCCAAGGTTGTTGGGAACAGAGGTGGCGAAGGACAGAAAACTAGTCAAACTAACCCATTCGATTCCTCTGCAAAAGATGTGGATATCAGAGAATACAATTAGAAGAACATTTCATCTTTAAATTGAATCTAGTAGAGATTTTGAATTTGTCTCATATTTGATGAATTTTGCATTGATTCTGCACTTTTCCTGTTTATTACTGTGAAGTTGATTTTTAAAGGTAGGGGTTCAAAAACATTTTTTGTTATGCTGGTTGAAAGTCTCTTCGCATGCCAATAGCAATCACTTGTTAGTTAAGTGGTCTAAATGTATTTATATTGAACCATAAAATATTTATCCAACCATATATCCCTCGGTCCAAGGGCTACTATAGGCTGTCCTATCTGCCTCTCAACAGAATGTATCTGCATACCTCCACGCACCGTTTGCGTAGAAATGATACGACCTCAGCACATTCCAGTACACTATTGCAGACCAAGCGAGAATGTTATTGTAATATTATGTGCTTTGTACTGCAATGTTTTCTCACCGGTGAATGAGACATGAGCTAATCTGACAGCGTTGCATTTAACACTCCATCAACTTCGTCCCCCAATTGTGTCGCTGGTTAGCCTCTGGTCTGTGCACATTCATGTGTTTTGAGGGAGCTTTCAAAGCTAGCTTACTATTGCTAGCCTCTCCCAAATCGACTACCGTACTTTTAATAACAATATGTATTGTATAATGTAGGGCTGAACGATTAATTGCATTTGCGATAATATCGCAATATGAAATAACGCGATTTTTCAATCGCAGAGGCTGCGATTAAACAGTCACGTGACACACGAGAGTAAAGAGGTGTGTTGGCACAGACTAAATACTGGGTGTTTCAGGTCTGACGACATCACGCGGGTGTGGTTTAATCGCAAGGTCAAGGAGCATGCGCAGTTTACACGCTCCGTGTGAAGCCCGCGAACGTGTGACAGCGGCACGACCTGCGGAGATCTTGACTTTGTTTAATTTTCGCGCATTTCAAACAAAGAATGATTATCACGTCTAACATTAAACAGTGGGGAAAAAACTCATGTGGCACATTGATAATTGGGAATATATTTAATATCACTGTTGAATCAGAATCTCGCGCATTTAGAATGATTATCACGTCTAACATTAAACAGTGGGGAAAAAACTCATGTGGCACATTGATAATTGGGAATATATTTAATATCACTGTTGAATCAGAATCAGAATTCACCGTTGTCAGAATGACAGAATTCACCGTTGTCAGAATGACACCGTTGGTGTCTCTCTCGCTCTCTCTCTCTCTCTCACACACACACACACACTTACATATAAATACATTTATATTATACTTTTATATATTTATAATTTGTATATAATTTTATAACATGATAAAGCACTATATAAAAAAGGTGACAACTTTTACGTTAACACATTAAATGATATAGCTCCTTAAGGGACTAAGTCTACAGGCATTACAGAAACTTTGACTGTATATTCTGAATTTTCTCTTTTTCCACTTAATGTACTTCTTTCACAATTCACCACAGCACAACAGCATCATTAGCTATTTTATTATGCTCTTGGAAACTCAAACCACGATTGGCCTTTATTATAAATCAAAACAGACTGATTCAAAAAATAAAAAGCAATGAGTCTAGAGAAAGTTTTCTCTGTGTTTAGAAAAGGAAGTCAGAAAGAATGATGGACTGTTTAATGAGACACAGGAGTGATGTGTCCTGGCAGGGGGATCCAAGCAGACAGCACTAATGAGACACAAAATGGCCACATGATTAATTAGGCCACTTCTCCCAGAAATATGAAGATAAAATGAAAACGAGAAGCCTTAATGGATTGAGGGCACAGGACCGGGGTAAAGTTTTAGACTTTCTGCATGTGTGGCACCATGAAAAGTATATGAGTGTGTAATACAGATCTGATTATGCTTTAATGCGTTTTTGGAATCACTTAAGGTGGAGGGACATTAGGGACATTTTGTTCCCTTTATCGTTATTTTTATTCATGATAAAGCACATTTCACCCAATGGTTCTGTGCATAACTGTGCAACACCTTTAGCAAAATAAACAATTAACAGTGTCAAAAATGTTCCATGTATTACACATTTCAGCAAAATTACCAATTTATTATTTATGTAATGAATTATGAGTGACCCTGCTGGAGTTATATTGCATCATCTACCTTTAATTTTGAGGCCACGCTTCCCATTGACAAAGTCTTCTCATATGGGAGATACATTGATGTGTGTGCGTATCTGTGTGGAAGCCCACAGTTTCTGAAGTGTTGAGAGAATATTACTGTATTTGTTAGTTTTCTGTTTCAGGTATGGCACGGTACTGTATGTCCACCAATTTGCACTGTAATGATGCTTGCAAACTTGTGCTGTCTCGCAAATCGGTCTGTTTTAAACTAAAAGTCAGGAAACAGACGTCTTCTCGAGAAAACAGATGTTGCTGAGAGATGAGCAGATGTGCACTACTGTGCAGAAGTCTTAGGACACTAGTATTTTCAACAAACAAAAAAAGGTTTTAAGCCAAAGCCAGTAATTTATATCTTATATCTTTAGAGTGTCAGTAGGAAATATCAGTTTACATTACCAAACATTCCTTTTGCCATTAATTGTAATAATCCAGTAAGATTTCTGTATGCACAAGGAGTCTGACAACAGCCAGTGCTGGACACAGAGATCTGATCTCATCATCATCCAGAATCAGAAAAAAAATTAAACAGACTAAATCCAGAAGAACTGTGACAACGTCTCCAAGATGCTTCAAAAACCTTCCTACAAAGCTACCTGAAAGACTATGCACAAGTGTACCAAGGACAAAAGCTGTATTAAATGCAAAGGGTGGTCCCACCAAATATTGATTTGATTTTGTTAATAGAAGTTAATTGATAAATAAATTCTATTTATGACATTATTTTTAAACGCATCACTTTACATAAATAATATAATGTGAACTGTAATCTATAAATGAATAAATGACACAGCGGATGAGAACAGTTCCTATTTTCTGTTTTTATTTGAGCTCCATAAGATGAGTCATGTTACACCTAGGAACATTCTCCTGCAATTTACTGTCATTGTCAGGAACTATTTTTTAGCAGAAGGATAGCATTTAGTGAATTTACATCAAAAAAGTAACACATCAATACATACATTTTTGGTTTTAATATTGTATTGCATGGTAACCATTGTATAAAAGCAATAAGGTACTCGAGGCATGCTGTATAGTGAATGAGTCACTGTGCGTATGTACAGTGGCTTGTGAAAGTATTCATACTCCATTTTTTTCATGCTTTATGTTGCCGCCTTACGTAAAACACGTAAATATATAATATGTTTTTTCCCCACATCAATCTACACTCCATACACCATAATGACAAAGCAAAAAAAAAAAACACATTTGTGACAACAAAGGAAAAACTGAAATAAGTACTTTGCATAAATATTCATAACCTTAACTCAGTGCTTAGTTGAAGCACCTTTACAGCCTCAAGTCTTTTTTGGGTATGATGTGAGAGGCTTTGCACATCTGCACTAGGCAATTATCTGCCATTCTTCTCCTCACCTCTTCAAGGCACAATATGTAAGATTTTTTTATTAAAATATCCAAAAACCACTAGAACAGTGTTATATATTTTGCTGACTTGTGTACTTACATTATCCCA